ACTGGTCAGGAGTAGGCTGGGAGTCTAGAGAGTCTAATACACTGTGAAGCAGCAGAAGTGTTACAAACTGGGTAATGCTGTTGCACAAAGTGATTTGCAGCTCTGGTGGGGTTGGAGAAATACCTGAGCCTGGAGGTCATCTGACCTAGGCTCTGCTCAGGGATGGCTGAGTAACTGCAGGCTCTGTGGGAAAGGTAATTCACTGCAGTGTTGCCACATGCCTGAGTGATGGCTCAGTGCAGCTTTGTGGGAGGGACAGCTGAGTAGCCCTGGTTTGGCTGCAGGTTTGCCTCACATCACCCGCCAGGAAGTATGTGGATCCAAACCCCTTCCTGCAAGACAAATCTCTCTCACCATCTTCAGTACCTCAGTGAGATTCATTGCCTGAAACTACCAGCCAAGATGAGGCCCTTGTTCCCTCAAGACCTTGTTCTGACACCAAGGAACAAGACCCCAGCCCTAATCTGATCAATCTTGTCTGTAAAACAACAAGAAATTTCCTCAACAGAAGAGAGTCAGACCAGCTACTGAACTCACTATCCTGATTTAGCAGACTATCTATAACCTGGAATAAACCTGCTGTCCAAGATTTTGCAGATACTCTGGTAGAAGAAAATAACTTGTTCTTCCCAAACCTTCATGAAACAGCTGTTGAGCCTCTGCATGAGATTTCCACCACTGGCATGCTAGCTGCATTCCTTTTGCTTAATTTGTTGCAGGTCCTGAGTAAATCAGGGTGACTGTGAGAATGAAGCTAGCAAAGAGGGCACCTAGAAGAATTGTCTTCCCTAATCATCAAGATGGTGGCCTAACAATGGAACAAGACTCTCTAGAACCCTTCTAGTTCCATTAATCAGTAAAGGCAGACCATTCAAAGAGGTGTCTCACCCTGACAGGAGAAATGAGCCATAGGCAGTAACTGTTGGTCCATGATGTTAGTTTAAGATTCAGTTGCTTAACTTGCAGCCCCAATCCAAAAATCCGGTCCAAAGAGTGGCCATGTCTGTGAGTTGATCCAGTTAACTACCTTCAATAGGCCCATGGCTCTCATGATGTCCAGGATCTCCTGACCACCTCTGAAGATTCATCACCTACATAAAGATTGCTCTCAGTGATTTGAATCCTTCCCTGTATTTCCATTGCCAATGGGCTGAGGCATGTAGTCCCCTTACAAAGGGACTTGACAGTGCAGCAGAGCCAGTGGTACACTAAAATCAGTCCCACCTTAATCCCATCTGGGGCTTGCATGCTAAATGGACACCTACTCTGTCAGATCCAGTTTGGAGAAGACTTCCTATAGTTCAGGTGGGATGTAATCAGCACTGCCACGCTTTCTCCCTACTGACCATCCTTGGTTCATGATATATATCTCTACCTCAATATAATGCTGTCCTCGGGAGCCAAAAAATCTTACCGCGTTATAGATGAAACTGCGTTATATCGGGGTAGAGGTGTACCAAACATCTAACTGGTAAAAGCTGTGCCAGAACTCAGTCATCTACTCCTGTGGTCTCTGCATCCCTACTCTGCCAGTCCCACTACCATGGAATCAGTGGAAAGAAGAATTCAAGATCCTCCTTATGTCAGGGCCCTCTCTCATCCCAGGGTACAAATCCTTTCATCTACCCTGTCTCAATTGTAACACTTCTCTCAACATTATACTTTTTCTTGGTCTCTTAGACCAGAGGCTGCCCATATTTCCAATTCCACAATCCCCCATAACCAGCCTCCTTCCCACAAACATATGCCTATAGGTACCTTACTATGGGTTTCCTACTGTAATGATTACCTGCCCTGCTGGCCTCTCATCAGTGGATGAAATTGCTTTAACTACAACGTATTATTAAATCCTTCAACATAAAGGATCCACTATTAACACCACTTAAAAAAAATACAGAACCTGAAGGCATGCTCCAGTGCTGGCTGAAAGAGCTCCTGTTACAGGCAGAGCCCTTCTGGCAGTGGTGGTGGGATGGAGCCAGTCTTCATTGTAGCAGTGATTCCTAGCCAGGCTGCTGGGTCTTACTCCTGTTATGTCTGTTACAGTTTGTAATGGAAATAGTCCAAGCATGCCTCTGATGCCAGTCTTACAGTTTGATACCTAGTAGCCTAATGGTTCACTGGGGTTTTTTTGTTGGTCCTTCTCAGAGGAGTTATTGGGAGGGCTCTACTGTTGCATGTCTTTTCCCCATTCTTTGTACACCTTGTCTTTTTAGATTGTAAGCTTTTGGGACGAGTCCATTTCTTACATTTGTTTTGTAGAGTGCCATTGTAAAGGGGCCCCAATCCTGACTGAGGCCTCCACTGTTGCAACATAGGTTTTACTGTGGTACTCATGGTATTTGGGTTTTTTAAATTCATGTTTAGTTTTGTTATTGATATGGCCATTTTACAACAACAAAATGTTTTAAATTAAATTTCTAAGATGAAACAGAGACTCCATCCTTATATAAACTTCAGTTCTTTGTTTCATTTCAGATGATCTTCAAGAAGCCAAGAAACTTCTAGCCAAAATGAAATACTTTGAAAACTTGGAGGACAAGGTGAAGAGCAAGAAGAACCCTTCCTGATATCACATTCTTTGCCATTAAGATCTGATCCACTTTTGATTAAAGTAGTGATTGGTAGTTTCTGATTCAGGAACTAAAAGGAGCACAACCATTGTGTGCCTCTTGATTTTTTTCGGTCCTTTCTTACCTACAGAAACAGAAGACATCCCTGTACTATCCAGTGTCATTAGATGACAGTCTTGGAAGTGGAATGTTGCTGGCAATGACCCTGTACTCCTCAATTCCAACTGCTAGCTTTGTGGCCACACTCCTTACTCTCAATATTTATACCTTCTACCTATCCCTAGTGGACAATAAATGAGTATGCAGATCACTGTTGTTATTGGGATTTAGTCAGGGCCTGATGCTGCTGTCTTTAGACAAAACTTCCACTGACATCAAAAAGTGTTGCCTAAGTAAGGTGCTAATGCCCACTTTGGTGGATTTTCCCATCTCCTTACCAAACGCTCACAGCCGTGGGGAAAATGGTGCTTGTTTATAGGAAAAGTTTTAGCTAAGATTGCTCACTGGAGAGTTTCTTGCAGGACCTGGAGACAGATGGTAAATACTTTCTCAGTTCTACTGAGGGCAGAGATTATTCAGGGTGGGAACGCATTTGCCTCCTTCAACCAGTGAGATAGTCGCTCTTACCTTGTTTACTACCACTTTGATCAGGATGTGTTTAATATCTTACTTTTGCATGAATCTAGCAAGAACCTCATCAAACTCTCCTGCTCAAAGCTGCCCTTATTTCCTTTCACATCACTGTGTGTTGGTGAGGCAGTTGGAAGGAGTAAGCAAAACTGGAGATTTACGTGTACTTTGTATGTTGCCTTGTAATACTTAAACTAAACTCTTGGCCAGCTCTAGCAGTGCACTGAACAAACAGGGAGAGATGTATTTAGCCTTTTTTGAGACTCTAAACCAGATAGGACCTTATTTCACACAAGAGTTGAGTTCATGGCAGGAGATATATAGAGTAGAAACTAATTTCTCTGTATATTGTTGTAAAAACAAATGATTAAATTATTAGAATAACTTCCTGACAAGCAATAAGAACACAGCGGCTTTGTCTGTTAGCCTTTTTCCCTAAAACTTCCCATTGATTTTACTCTTTAGGTCTATGTAGAGAAGAACCCAGCTGCCTATGCTGTTTTAACCATCATGTCATCTAAGCATGTTCTGGGTAAATCTAGACAAGAGTGGTTAAAACGCTGACATCTCTACAGTAGTTCTCCTGCTATTATATCACTTGTGAAACTGCACCAGTGGTAGCATCCGTTGGAAACAGCCAGAGAGCACATAAGTTACAGCTCCTATAACAGATCCTTATGAGGTGAGGAAACAAAACAATCAAAAGGGAACGTAAATGCTGTAATAAATTAAGACTTTTGGTGTTTTAGTTTTAAGGGAAATTTAAAATGTGAGTTCACTTTTGATTCAAAATGCTAGCTGGATAGCCCTGGTGATTAAACAAAGGACTCTTCCACACTACAGGTACAGTATTGACAATTCAAGCTATACATCGGGGTAGTCAATAGGTAGACTGCGGGCCCAGTCTGGATCACCAGATACTTTTGAATGGACCCCAAAATCTTTTTATTTACTTATAATTATTGTTGTTTCTATTATTTTCTTTTCTGGAGTCTGGATCTTGACCAAGAAATTTGGACCTTGAAAAAATAATTAGCTGCCCTTGCTATACATGGTCTTCCTGTGCTGTCCATGTTCCCCAGTCCTGTCTTGGAATGACCCATCTCTAGGGAATGAGAGAAATGTTCAGTTTCTATCCCAAGTTGAATTTAGGCATCTCTGCTGTAGATACCATTTATTGCCTTTTGTGACCAGGTATTTTCATCCACCAGGAGCCAGACTCAGTGAGACTCAAATTATTTTCACACAGGTCACCAAATAACTGTTATGGTAGGTTGGTTTTTTTGGTTTGTTTGTTTTTTTATTTTATTTTTTTATAATTGAGGTTGGATTTCAACCAGTAATACAAGGAGGCCAGTTACATCCTGATCCCCAATACCATTCAGTCCTTGTAATTCATTTTATCATGAATCTAAAAAAGCATATGTGTAACTTCTTACCTACTACCTTCATTCCAAGGGGATTCATTGCTTGTGTCCATGTTGTGCTGTCACAGAAATAGGACTGTGTAGGAAAGCCTCAAGTAGGCTGGGGCCTGTCAGAGGAATTAGTCTTGATAGCAGGAGGAGTGTTTTTATGTAGTAACTAGAACAGGGGTTCTCAAACTGTCGAGACCCCAAAGTGGGTCAGAACCCCATTTTAATGGGTTGCCAAGGCTGGTGTTGGCCCAACAAGTCTCAAGCCCAAGCCCCACTGCCCAGGGCTAAAGTTACATGCCCCCCGCCCAAGGGCAGAAGCCCTTGGGCTTCAGGTTTGGCCCTCCAACCCCACCCAGGATGGCTCAGGCAGGTTTGGTCTTCAGTCCCCCATCCTGGAGTCTTGTAGTAATTTTTGTTTTCAAAAGGGGGTCACGCTGTAATAAAGTTCGAGAACTGCTGAACTAGAATATTTCAGTTAGCAGTAGGTTTGCATTCACTGTGGCCATTCTTAAATGTTCAGCATTCTAATATCACATTAAAGTTATAGCTACATTTTATTTCAAGAAGTGATGCTCCCACCCCATCGCAGTCTCCCAAATTCTTCATATTGACACCTTATGTGGTTAGAGTGTGAGGCATGCCATGGATTCACATTGACTGTTTGCAGCAATTCCCAATGAAGTCTGTACTCCATGAGACCAGGTAATCAGCACTGTTTCTGCATGTGTACATTAGCCAAATGTGTCTCAACGTTTTTATTGAATTGAGTCTCTTTTGTAGGCAGTACTGTATATGTACATAAAATACAGTATTTTGATATTCCAGCAAGATTAGTCTACCTTTTTAAATAAGTTTCACCTGATGATATGACAAGCTATCTTTGAATACATTCCTTAACACTATTTTTCTCAATATATGGGAGCATATGTGTACAATTCCCATTAATGTGGCTGCCTTACACCTGTGAGATGTAAAGTACACTCTAACATTCATTGCAGAGCTGTCGTCTTTCACATAGCTCTGCTTCCTTCTCTTTGATTCTTTCTCTGAAGTTAAGGTGTTGAAATTCTCGCTTGATTTCCAGAAAAGACTTGTTTTTTGTCTCAGGAATGACAAAGAAGATGAAACAGGCAACCAACAAGCTTTCCACTAAAAACACCACAAAGCAATACTGCTTCAGTCCATTCTAAAAACAAAATACAGGATGTTTGAGATTAATAAAAAAAATCATAGTAAATAATACCTAGTTAATTTTAGAAAATACTAACTCAGATACTGTTGACAGTCACTAACAGTGCCAAATCTAGGTTTTAAGTGAAAGGGTGAGCTGAAGCTCCATCTGTTCCCTATCTCTTTGTTGTATCATTAGCTGAAATGATCAATAGTATAGTTCAAAGCAACAGAGGGTCCTGTGGCACCTTTT